CGTGGCTTCGGGGGCCCCGCCAACAATCCTCCCTCAGCATCATCGCAGAAGCAGAGGCCAGTATGGCTTGCAGGATCGGTTCCAGCAGCCCGTGGGACGGCGGTGGGTGCGGCGGCGGCAGGAACGCCAGACGGGCGGGGGCCCGGGCTGGCCGCGCCTGGTCATCGGCTCGCTCCCAGCTCACCTCTCGCCTCACTTGTTGGAGGTACGGCCCCCTTCTTCCCTCCCTCCCTCCCTCCCCGGCTCCCACGGCGGCACGTGGGCTGCGGCGGCGTTTATTTTTACCTTCTTTTCTCCTTCAGCCTGAGCGCTGCCGGCCGGCTCAGCCTCCGGGGAGGAGAGTCGCCACTTAACCCCCCGGACGCCGCTCGGCCAGACCCCGGTGTTTGCTTTCCAAACGCGTGACCCTCCCCTCCCAGCGGCGCCCCGGGGCGGAAAGCCCTGGCTTCCCCGGAAGGCGAAGGGAGCAAACAGTGTTTTATAACGAACCGACGCAGCAGTCCTGGCGCTTGTGGGTTTGGGTATCAGGAAGTCAGAAGACCCGTTGCTAAATGTGGTTCTGTCTTGGGACTCGAGTGGTGAGCAGTTTCTAAAGGCCAAAAGTCAGAGGGTCTCGAATCAACATGAGTGCTTGAAAATGGAGGGAATTGCCTCCTTTGGATGGTGGTTAACATATATAAAACTAATTCTTAAGTTTGCAAATAGTCCCACCTACTGTGCACACGGGAGTGGGATGGATGTATTAATGGAAAGTGTATTTTTCACCCCTGTAAACGTCTCCTTTAGATACTGGTTAATGTGAGTCCTGCTTAATCGGGACAGCATTTAAAAAATGGAAAAGAGTTTAAGGAGAGGAATTAGTAATAATCACAACTCTCTGCCCACAAGGTGCAGTCAGTCGAAAGCCTGGGCGCAAAGCAGTGTTGACTTGAGTTCAGGAAAAGTCACTTGTGAGGAATGGAAATTTTTAGTAGCAAAGTGATGTGTCTTTATGTAGGAACGGGAGGAAGGGTGCACTTGATTTGAGGAAAATGAGTTTGAATTGTTCAATTATGTTTTATGATGATCATCTCTACCTCAAAACAGTTATAGTAAATGCATCAAGACACCCCTTTCCCAGTTCACGGGGGCGGGGGAAAGAGTTAATCTGGTTAGAGATACTGTAGATTCTAGAGATGCTGTAGAGATACAGTGTAGAGGGTAAACATTCCCATCTCATTGCATTATGTATCTTGATAGAACATTCACAGTTGAGCACAGATAACTGCACACACCATCCCCTCCATTTTTGTGCCCTTTGTATTCATGTTTATAAACGTGAGAAATTTGAGTAGGCAGTTGGTAAAGTGGGATGTCCAGTAATGTAATTTAGCTATCTGTGCTGATGTTCTGTACTGTCCACCTTCACGTTGGCATAAATTAAAAATGGAAAAAACTAAACATGACATTCCCATCTTTTCAGTACTGCTTTGCACATTCAGTATGGAACAACTCTTTACCTTATTTTAAAAGTCATTTTGCTGTGTAAATAAAAGTACTTAATGCTTCCTAAAATTGGGCCAGTTAAAAAAATATTTGTTTTAGTTAAAGAACTGGTGTTTTCCTTCCTTTGATTTGATTATAATTAATGCAGTTGAAGGTACTGTAGTCACCACATGGAGGAACAACAAAAGACAGTTTCTTGAGAATGGGAGATTAGTGCAATAATAAAAGATAAGCTGGTTTTTAAAAATATTTCTTTTTTAAGTGAAAACTTGCATTTAGCAGTTATGATCATCAAAAGATGTATATTTAAAGCTTGCTAAAGAAGGGGAAGTAGGAAAAGGCTTGTCAAGTTAATAGTTCTTATTTCTTTAGTATACTGATTACTGTCTTCATTCTTTTTTTTTTTTTTTTTTTTAGGGCTGATAGCCTTTAACAGAGAGTCGGTATACCTGTATGGGTTTATTTTCTTAAAGTAAATACATTCCATTCAGAGCAGAGGACAAATAATTGACACCCATGCTATTAAGTCATAGTAAATTAGCAAATGAAAAAGACTGAGTTGCTGAAAGTTAGAGAGGTAAAGCATTTATCTATTTTCTTATCTAAGTCCCTAGATTTTTGCATTTAGTTCTTTTAGTACTTTTGTGGTTAGGGTAATTGGGTCTAGCAGCAAAACAACCAGGAACTTGTGGCAGTCTTTCTTAATTAGGTCTTTGTAGAGAATGAGCCCTAATGACTAAGGCATCTGTTGTATGCAATTAACTTTATCTTCTATGCATTTAGAAGGATTCTTGAAAAACTTGCAAAGTGCTTGTACCTTAAGTCCTAGTTGAGACCAGAAGATAGAATATATATGTAAAACCGAATCTTTCCAATGACATTTGCTTCAATGAGATGTTTATCTCTATTTCAGTGGATGAGTTTGTCAGGGGAACTTTATAGAACAGTATTGCTCATTATCCTGAGGTTTAGGGAGCCAGATGATAATTCTTATTTAGAAATTAGACTTGACTATACTTCACATTGATTTAATTTTTAGTATGTATTATAGAATTAATATGTTTATTCAGTTACAAAGTGCAAATGTGCATGTATAAATGTGCATGTATAAAAGTAACTCCATCTGAATAATGAGTAAAGGAATATTTCTGAATTAGTGGAAATTTATTACTGTAATTTTACAAAACTTATTTTAACTGATGTTTGTATTAATAATATCTCCTAATAAGAAAATTTGATACTAATAAGATTCAGAATTATTCTCTTATGGGCTGTCAGGTAATTTGTAGAAAAGGAAAACCTAAACCAATACTGTTTGTTTGTTTTTTTAAATTTGGTAGTCTAGCAAGGTGAATTGTTGCTGGTTCCATCATAATGAATTACCAAATTAAATGAGGTGTTCTGTGTTGGTTTGTTTTACTCTTTTTTGGAAATGTATTTTGGTGATGTACACTCTTTTAATTCTTTCCATCTGGAGAGAACTTGTAGAGGTGCTTAATCCAGATGTTTTAGTTTACAGAAATTTCCTAGAACTGAGTTGTTGGATAAAACATCAGAATATTATTATAATACAAACAGGTGTTTTTTTGTTGTTGTTGTTAAATATATTTTTATTGATTTCAGAGAGGAAGGGAGAGGGAGAGAGGGATAGAAGCAACAATGATGAGAGAGAATCATTGATCAGCTGTCCCTGCTGCATGCCCCCTAGTGGGGACATAGCCCGAAACCTGGGCATGCGCCCTAATTGGGAATCTAACCAAAACCTTCTGGTTCATGGGTCAACGCTCAACCACTGAGCCACATTGGCTGGACTGTACAGGAGTTTTTAGGTGAGATAGGTTTTTCTTGTGTTGTTGTTAGTTTCAGACTGCTGAGTTTAATAGTATTAAAGTGAACAAAAGCCTTGTCTATCACCTTTGTTTATAACAGGTCTTAAGGGTATAGTCTAATATTTAAAATTTAGTGGTATCTCACAGGATTTTTTGGCTTTATTTTATGTCTACATTTTTTTTCTCCTGTCAAGTTGCTTATGTTCATAAAGGTAATTATTATGGGTGGTAATGATCCAGTCTTTAAGATCCAGCAAGGATGAGGGAGGTAAATTGGACTATAAAAATATACCAGTGAATAGAGATTATTTCTAAAGAAATTATGTGGATTTCTCATAAAATATTCATGAGGCTGAGAGTGAAAATGTAAAATGAATTAATCTAGACAATTAACCGGTGGGACTGGATTGCTTTTACTTCTTGATTGGCTTGAGTTTGTTTGGGTGTGGTGTGCCCCTGAGTATTTCAGTAGGCTGATTGTAATTCAGGTGCCACCTGTTATCTAAGAAACAAGCTTCTTTATATTGAAGGAATGTGGGTTATCTCTTAAAACTGAATATGTTAAATAAAATCTGTGTTTATAGGCAGATTTATTTATCTTAATCTTTAAGACAGATGTGGATTTATTGTGGTTAATTTACTTCCTATTCTTGAATGTTCTTTTATTCAGTTGAAGACTTTTATGGGGTGTGACAGAAGAAAATGACATGTCTAATGACAACTCATCACCCCCCAAAAAACAAGTCTGGAGATTCGTGTTTCTCACTTGTAATTCCACATACTTTAAACTCTGTAGGAGATACTTTGTGTTTTATGCTTTTTTTTATGCCAAAGTGTGGACTCTGTCATGCTAAGTTTCAGCTTTGGGAATGTTTTGAAATTGCAAGGTGGGCTGGAGGGAGGAGTGGTTTGTGTTGCACTGGCATCGTCTGATAGGAGCTGCCTGACCTAAGTACTTTTGATGCTTTGCTGGCTGCTAAGCCACTAAGAGCTCTGCTGTTTCACCAATAGATAGTGTCTCCAGCAAGTCTTCTTGCCCCCTTCAATTTGATTGTTTTCCCTGGTAACTAGTAAGTAGGTTCTTATTTATTTTCTGGTTACCAATAACATTAATTAGATACCAGCCTGTGTCTATAAGGAGGATTGCCTTAATGTTATACTTATTTCATATACTGGGTATAAGTACAAATAGGTATATTTAGTAAATGGGTTAAAAGAGAAGTATAGGAACTGCTTTATGTAGCAAAGTACTTCATAAATGTTTTAATTTTGCATGTACTTGATTGGCATTAACTAATGAATTTTTTTATACTTATTTAACAGTTTAGAAATTGGGGAAAACATGCCCTTTGTATGCATAAAAGGTTCAAACATACCTTGTGTTTGTGTGATGCTTATTAAAAAACTAGAGGCCCGGTGCACGAATTCGTGCACCAGTGGGTCCCTCAGCCTGGCCTGCGGGATTGGGCTGAAACCGGCTCTCCGACACCCCCGGAGGGGTCCCAGATTGCAAGAGGGCACAGGCCAGGCAGAGGGACCCCACCAGTGCACGATTGGGGCTGGGGAGGGACGCGGGAGGGCTCCAGGGTGTGTCCGGCCTGTCTCACTCAGTCCCGATCAGCCGGACCCCAGCAGCAAGCTAACCTACCAGTGGAGCGTCTGCCCCCTGTGGTCAGTGTACATCATAGTGACTGGTCAACCAGTTGACTGTCTGCCCCCTGGTGGTCAGTGCACATCGTAGTGAGCAGTTGAGCGGCTTAGCATATTATTAGCATACTAGAGGCCTGGTGCACAAAAATTTGTGCACTCGTGGGGGGCGGGGGGCGTCCCTCAGCCCGGCCTGTGCCCTCTCGCAGTCTGGGACCCTTTGGGGGATGACCACTTGCTGGCTTAGGCCTGCTCCCCGGGGGATTGGGCCTAAGCTGGCAATCAGACATCCCTCTGGCAGCCTGGGATCCCTCGGGGGGATGTCCACTTGCCAGCAGGGAGCAGGCCTAAGCTGCAGTCGGACATCCTTAGCGCTGCTGAGGAGGCAGGAGAGGCTCCCACCACCACCGCTGTACTGGCAGCCATCAGCCTGGCTTGTGGCTAAGCAGAGCTCCCCCATGTGAGAGCGCACTGACCACCAGAGGGCAGCTCCTGCATTGAGCGTCTGGCCCCTGGTGGTCAGTGTGTGTCATAGTGACCAGTCATTCCCAGTCATTCTGCTGTTAGGGTCAGTTTGCATATTACACTTTTACTGTATAGGATAGAGGCCTGGTTCACGGGTGGGGGCTGGCTGGTTTGCCTTGAAGGGTGTCCTGGATCAGGGTGGGGGTCCCGCTGGGGTGCCTGGCCAGCCTGGGTGAGGGGCTGATGGCTGTTTGCAGCTGGTCACACCCCCTTCAGGGTGGGGGTCCCCACTGGGGTGCCTGGCCAGCCTGGATGATGGGCTGATGGCTGTTTTCAGGCTGGCCACACCCCCTTTAGGGTGGGGGTCCCCATTGGGGTGCCTGGCCAGTCTGGGTGAGGGGCTGAGGGCCGTTTTCAGGCTGGCGGGCGACTGAAGCTCCCAGCCTCTCCTTTTTTATTTATTTTTTATTCTGGAATTTATTTACCTTCTATAATTGAAACTCTGTTGCCGTCACTGGCGCTCCCAGCTCTGAGGCTGTGGCCGGCTGAAAGCAGGTATCTGGGGTTTGTTTAGCTTCTATAATTGAAACTTTGTTGCTTCCGGAGCTCAGAGCCGGGCCGCGGCAGGCGGGGAACCTTGGCTTCCTCCATCATTGGAGCAAGCAAGCCTCATGTTCACTTCAGCTGTGTGGCTGCTGGCCGCCATCTTTGTTGGCAGTTAATTTGCATATCGCCCTGATTAGCCAATGGGAAGCGTAGCGGAGGTACGGTTAATTACCCTTTTTGTCTTTTATTAGATAGGATTATGCTTTGTATTGCTGAACGGCCTACTGGTCAATTGGACACTTAGCTTATTAGCCTTTTATTATATAGGATTACTGTAAGTTTAGCTGCCTAAAACAGCACATATTTATTTATCTCATAGTTTCTATGGGTTAGGAGTCCGGGTGCAGCTTAACTTGGGTCCTCTGCAAAAATGTAATTAAGGTGTTGGCCAGAACTTGGATTGTTATCTAGAGACTCAATGGGGATTGTGTCAGCTTTCAAGCTCCCTCTCTCCCTCAGGTTGTTGGTAGAACTCATTTCCTCATAGTTTTAAAGCTCAGGACAGCTTGCTTCTTCAAAGACGGCAAAGAAGAGTGCCTAGCAGGGTGGGCTGGTGCTGCACTCTTATGTGAATACTAGAGGCCTGTGCACCGGTGGGATTCCTCGGCCTGGCCTGTGGGGATCAGGTCAAAACTGGCTCTCTGACATCTCCCGAGGGGTCCCAGATTGTGAGAGAGCACGGGTCAGGCCGAGGGACCCCACTGGTGCACAATTGGGGCCAGGAAGGGACCGTGGGAGGGGCTCCAGGCGTGTCTGGCCCATCTCACCCAGTGCCGATCGGCCGGACCCCAGCAGCAAGCTAACTGACCTGTTGGAGCATCTGCCCC